GGGCGCGCACTTCTACTGTACACATGTATAAGGGCCACACGCAAGTTTGTCTGGAATTCAGGACACACAGTAAACCCAGAAATGACGTCGCTCTCGCTCACGCAGTGGTCTGCAGCGTGGCCGCGCGGCAGGAATCCCGCGGCAGAGCAGAGTCGCTCGCGTCCCGCCCGCGGCGTGCGGACGCCAGCGGGTCCCCGGGCCTCTCGCTCGTTCCCGGGCCGAGACCGGACGCACGGCGGACCTCAGCTTGCCCGCCGGGCAGGTGTGTCCACGGCGACGGCGCTCGGCTGGAGCGCGGGGGTCGCGGCGGGGGAGGCAGGCTCCCGGGAGCGCGAGGTTGCGGCGCCCCATCCCCGTCTTCACCCAGACGGCCCCCGCCCCTCGCGTCCCGACCGCCGGTCCCCTCCACGTGCCGGCCGACGTTTCTGCGCCCCCGGCGCCCCGGGAGGCCTAGTCTCCGCCGGAAGCGGCGCAGGCCGGGCGGGATTGGCGGGCGCACCTCTGCCGGCGGCCGGGCCGGGCCCGGGTAACACTCGCGTTCCGAGACCGCGGCGCCGCGGCCCGGGGAGCACCTCCCGGCTTAGCCAGGGCGGCGTGTGCGCGGGCCTCCCCGGGAGTCCGGCCCCTGCGGCGCGCGGGAGGACAGCCAGACCTTCCGAGTGCGGGCCGCTGCGCTCGCTCGTCGGCGCGGGGACGGGGTGCAGGGCTGGCGCGGTCGCCGTACCGTCTCGTTCTTCGGAAGGCGGGACCCGCTGCGAGTCGTGTCCTTCCCTCGGAATGATTCCTAAAACCGGCTTTCTGCCAGCCCTCTGCAGAAGCCCGTCCCCTGATCCTTAGGGCACGGGAAGTGAAGGTGTGTTTGAAGGATGCCGAGTGGGTCGCAGGTGCGAGGCGCAGAGAAGACACCAGCAGGGCCTCCGTGCGTGGTCCCGGGTTCTGTGCGGGGAAACCGAGGCAGGGCTCCGAACCCAGCGCCGAGATGACGGGGTCACGGCGAGAACTGCAGCTTGTACGGAGGCCTTGCAGGGGTAGCGGGGATCCGGCCTGGATCTAATGCTGTCCGTAGTCACTCTCAGAGCAACGAGCAACGCTACACGGAGGGTTTAGTCAACCAGTTACTTTCCTGGTCTTGCTACTACGCTGCGGTTCTGTAAGACGTTAAAGGAGCGGAACCTGGGTGAACCGTATAGGGAGTTCTCTGCGCCGTTTGGGGAAGTTTCCTTTAATTCAAATAAAAATAATGCATTATTAAAAAGGTAAGATCTTTACAGAGGGGGGAAAATAGAGGTTTAGAGAGATTAAGCCACGACACGTACGAGAACATAACGAGATTCAGGCGCAGGTCTTCCGGAATCCACAGCCCTTGTCCTTCACCGCAGCCCACCGTGCTGACGAAGCGGTAGTGCACGTTTAAACAGGCCCTGCTTAAGTCTGCTATTACATGGAAGACTGAAACCATCTACACCCACACAGCCTACTACCTACCTAGGTTAAGGTGACTTAGCTGTTCATTTGTCTACACTAGGTATGACATTATTCCACTATCTTTATCAACATGACATTACTATTCTAGGAAATTCTTGCCCCAGAAGATCAAGTTGCAAATAATCATATTTGTTTCGAGAAATTACCCCTGAAAAAATCCACTTGAATGAATATCAGACTCCCAAATTTAAATGGATAGGATCCAGAAACTCTCAGCTGAAAACCTTCACCTTGTGTCCATCAGTTCTAAACTATTGTGTCATGATCCTTCCCCAATCTTTATTCTGCTTTGAAAGATCTGCCTTAAACCCCCAAGACCTCATAAATATCCTGACTCTGCCTTCCTCCCTGGGAGATACTACTTAGACTCTGTCAAGGTAGTGCTAGCATTCATAAGAATAAATTCACCTTAGCCTAATCAGTGGATTGTTTTGGTATTATTTTTGGAAAGCAGGGGTCCAACAGTATTCTCGGCATTGTGAAAAATGCTCTTTCTTGACAAACATTCCTTCTACTTAGAAAAAGTCTTGAATGACCTTAAGCACATTTTTAAAATTTTCTTTAAATTTGGGTGAAGCTTTCTTGCTCTTCTGAAACACAAGCATTAGACTTAGTGAGTTCAAGTATTTAATCAGCCTGTGTGTATGTGTGTGTGTTTCTGTCTTTAACTGTGGTTTCTATAACCTTAGGAGTGTGCCCTGAAAGATAACACTTGTTCTCATCCTCTCTGACCGTTGGAGCTGGAATGGCTGCAGCGTTCCTGCCACCGGCTCCTGAAGAGCCAGAGGGGCTCTTCAAAGTAAACAAAAAAGAAGGTCCTGCCAAGGTTCAGGGATCTGGCCCACAGGGCAGTAGCCCAAAGAGCCAGGAGTTATTCCGCCAGCGCTTCCGACAGTTCTGCTATAAGGAGACTCCTGGACCCCGTGAGGCCTTGAGCCAACTCTGGGTATTCTGCTGTGAGTGGTTAAGGCCTGAGATACACAGCAAGGAGCAGATGTTGGACCTGCTGGTGCTGGAGCAGTTCCTCACCATCTTGCCTGCGGAGCTCCAGGCCTGGGTCCAAGAGCATCACCCAGAGAGTGGGGAGGAGGCCGTGGCTATGCTGGAAGATCTGGAGAAGGAATTGGATGAACCAGGCCAAAAGGTAGAAAGGGACCTGTGCTCAATTGGGGGATGGTTGGGAGTGGGCATCCAGGCCTATCCTTTATGGGCTCTCGGGATCATGTACACTGTGGGCCCTTCAGATGAGCCTGCTTGTTCTCAGGTTTCAACCCAGACCTGTGCACAGGAACTGCTTTCTGGGACATCGGCACCTCTGGATCCAGCTACGGAAGCAAGGTATCTCCAGCCTCAACCCATGGAGATCCAGGACCCTCAACACCAACAGGATTGTGGTTAGTGTTGACACTTGGGTCATATGGCTCCCCTGGAGACCTTAGAATCATTCATCATTGTCACATAAATATTGAGTACTTACTCTGTGCCAGGCACCATGGGAGGCACCGGGTATGGTGAGCAAGGCAGACATGATCCTTGCTTTCATGGAGCTTACAAAATAAATGTACCATAACAGATTGTATATGGGGAAGAAGAAGGCAGTCAGAGAAGGCCTTTTTTGAGGAAGTAACGTAAGAGCTAAATCCCAAAAGTAGAATAGAAATTAGCCAGGTGATCGGAGAGGGGAAAGCAACGTAGGCCTAAGAGCATGTGCAAAACAGATGGGAAAGAGGTGCATTGTCAGAAATTATGTTTCTATGCTATGATATTTTTTAATAATAATCCAAAAGTTTTTTCTCATGCTGATAGGAATATTAGTCCTGTTATATGTGCAGTGATGTTTTGGGCCCCATCCTACTGTTCATTTTATATTTGCTAATGTCTCTGAAAGATGATGTTCTTTCATTCTTTTTTTGAAGATTGTATTTATTTAGGGAGAGTACACTCGAGCACATGAGCAGGAGGAAGGGCAGAGAGAGAGGGAGAAAGAGAATCCCAAGCAGACTCAGCACTGAGGGGGGCCTAACACAGGCATCAGCCTCACAACCCCAAGATCATGACCTGAGCCTTGCATGGATTGAGGCTGGGAGTCTGGGAATCTGTCAAGCCTGAAGCTACACTCTGGACCATTGAGACTTCCTGGGCAAATGGTCACGAACACAAAGGAGGGTTTCTAACAGACCCAGACTCCCATCCGTCCTGACCCAAGGAAAGCACGTTGCCATAATTCCCCTGCCTGTCTCCTACAGAGGTGCCCCTGAGGAGGGTCCCAATACACCCCTCCTCCAGGGTGGGCAATGTGGTCGCTTCCTCAATGGTCAACAGTTTCTGAAAAAAGGTGAGATTGTCCCACTCAAGGCATATTCTCCCTGAAGTAATCCTGTGTTAGGACCCAGAGTGAAGGGCAGAATTTGCAACCATGTAGGAGTAATGCAGGGAAAAGTGATATGCTTTTAAATTGGTGGGTTGGGGGAGGCCTGGCAATGGGAGTAAAGACAGGTATAGAGACAGCTGAAGACGAAGGAGGCAGTTCACATCAGCTCTCAGAGAGCTCACTCGTGCTGCTTGGCCACGGCTCCTTTCCCCTCTCCTCCCACAGTACACTTAACCGACCCATTTTGGCAGTTGCGCTGTGCCTCTGCCTAGGGCTGGATCTGATGCAAACTGCCTCCCGGATCTTAGCCATCTCCATGCTTGTCTGTCCTCCCACAGCCAGCCACCCCCCGGCTGCCACTTAAAAGCCTAGGGTTAGAGTGTAGCTTCAGGTTTGACAGATTCCTAGATTCTCCTTTGCTAGACGAGTAGAAATGTCTTTGGGGCAAAATCGGTTTCTGTTTGTCCCTACGTGATAACATCCTTTTGTGCCCCATGTTTTTAGACTCTGATCTCCCTGTTCTGCATATCTGCAAATAGGGTACTTTCCTGTGCTCCGACCCCTTGTTTTTCAGTTCTCTGTGAGGCCTCAGAGCACCTACACAGAGCTGCTTCACGGCTCCACATCAGCACTGGGCCCCATGGCTTCCTTTCTGCTCCTCCCACAGTCCTGTTCCTTCATCTCTCTCTGCCCTGCTCTACCCTTCCCTCGGAACCTACTCTAATCCCAGATCTTTTCTTCTGTTGTTGACTTACTCCTCCCAGACTTGTCTCCACTCTGCTCAAATCGTGCCCTACCAGTCCAGACACTGCTAGTCCTCTCTTCCTTTGTAATCTCCCACTTTCTTCCTCAAATGTTGTCAAACTGTTTTGCTGGGAGAGTTAAGCTGTGTGCTTAACTAGTATATGTGTTTAATTTTATTTCCTTTATATTTCACATGTAACTTGAAATCTATCGTTTTTGTTTCAGATGATGTGATCAGAATTGAGAAAGAACTGATTCAAAAGCAGAAGTTTACTATAGATATGGAGTCTCCCAAAAAGTCATCTGGCCAAATGAATGGAAAGGCCCCTGAATGTGGAGAAACCCAAGAACATGAAGGAGGGACAAAAAGATATCAGAGAAACACTTCAGCTGAGAGAAGATATAAGTGTGATGAATGTGGGAGAAGATTCACTCAAAACTCAAGCCTCATTAGACATAAAAGAATCCACACTGGAGAAAGACCCTATTCATGTAACGTGTGTGGCAAAAGTTTCATCCAGAGCTCACAGCTTATTGACCATCAGAGACTACATAATCGGTTAAAACCGTATCAGTGTGATGAGTGTGGAAAAGCCTTTTATTACAGTTCACACCTTGTTCAGCATCAGAGGACCCATACTGGAGAAAAACCTTTCCAGTGCAGTGAGTGTGGGAAAGCTTTTCACTACAGCTCAGGCCTTGTCCGACACCAAAGGACCCACACAGGAGAGAAGCCGTACCAGTGTGGTGACTGTGGGAAGGCTTTCTGTCTGAGCTCACATCTGATTCAGCATCAGAGAGTCCATACCGGAGAGAAGCCGTACCAGTGCAGTGAGTGTGGAAAAAGCTTCAGCCAAAGCTCAGGCCTCTTCCATCACCAGAGAATCCACAGTGGGGAGAAACCCTATGAGTGTGATGAGTGTGGGAAGGCCTTCAGTCACAGCTCGGCTCTGGTAGGACACCTGCGCATCCACAGCGGAGAGAGGCCTTATGAGTGCGATGTGTGCGGGAAAGCTTTTAGTTACAGCTCACATCTTCTGGGACACCGACGAATCCACACTGGAGAGAAACCCTATGAGTGTGACGTTTGCGGGAAAGCTTTCCGGCGCAGCTCACACCTCATTGTACATCAGCGAGTCCACGCTGGAGAGAAGCCCTGGTGATTGTTGGTACCAACCAACAATTCCGCAGAAGGCCAGAAAGGCACAGCCAGCAGAGGACGCCACCGTGACAGTGGCGTGGGGAATTCTGTGATCACCACTGCACTTTGCACGGTCGTTAGAAAAGACTTCTGGAGGCTGAGATAGGTTATCACCTGACAGCTTATCAAACAAGAACATCCTTCCACATCTCAAACGTCCTTCTCTGAAGCAGCTGCTCAGGAAGCCTCAGTGATCCACGAGATATGTACTCCACGGTCGTAGAGACGGCAGCAGTCGTAGAGACAGCTGTGTTCCTCTCCCTTCCCTTCTTCCCCCTATTTTCTTAGGAGTTAGAATAATGATGTTGCGTGAAGTGTGAATTTAGAGTTAACATCATCTGCATTTTAAAAATCCTGAATTTTAGGTCAGCTTGATAAAAAGACAGCAGCCTATCAATTATCTACACTGAAAACATTGTGGACACAAAACCCACTCTGTAATCTGGGATGAACGACTCGTGTAGGTGGGAAAGTTCAGTGGGACAAGAGGATGGATGACGCACGTTCCAGTGTGACCTTTCACGTCTTCCACCAGAGGTGCCAAACAGGCCAGTGGGATTTGGGAAAAGTAATGTGTATTTTTCCCACATGGTATTTTTTTTCAATAATATATAAAATTATTTCAATTTTTTAAAGCTTTTTTTTTTTTAAGGTGTATTTATTTAGAGAGGGAGAGAGAATTCCAAGCAGACTCTGCACTGAGCACAGAGCCCAGTGCAGGGCTTGACCTCATGACCCTGAGATCATGACTTGAGCCGAAATCAAGAATCAGACACCCAACTGACTGTACCACCCGGGTGCCCCAATTATCTCAACTTTTTGAAAATCTGGCAATTTCACATAAAATCTGACTTTCTGGATTCTCTTACAAAAATGCATGATGTGGCAACACTAGAGGGCATATTCCCACAAGGCAAGAGTTGACTGGGACAGATTATCACTACTGTGTGTTTAGACCCCCGTCCACCGCCACACAGCTTCCTGCGGTCTCCCACCTCTCCCTCCCCCTACCTGTGTGAGCCCTCCCCTGCCCTAAGGGCTTCTCAGGAGTTTGTGGGTTCCAGGCCAACTTGCCACCAAGAGTTCCACCTTAATTTTACACACCGGCCCCCAATAAGATTTTCTGTGAAGAAAAGGCTTTCTAACAACAGCTTGAAGATTTAGATTAAAAAAATAGAAGTGTGCACTTGTGCACCCAAAGGTAGAGGAAAGCCACTTTAAATTTTTCCTTAGACAGAATGTATAGTTAATTATTGAAAGTCAGCTGTAATAGCTTCAAGCCAAACCAGTGGAGACTAGTTCTTTGGGTGAGATGGAGACACAACACCCGTGACAGGGTTGGACGCTAGCGTCAGAGTGAGAAGGCCTGAGGCGGAAAGCGGGGGTGCAGCTCAGAAAGAGAAGCTTTGAGATTTGAAGCATTTGGTGGCAGGAGCAGCTGTGGGAAGGCTGTAGGATGAGGCCCAAATGGAAGACTGGGGAGAGGTGAGAAGAAAAGGCTACAAATACGGGAGGGTCTGGGATAAACGGAGGGAAGGAAAAAGGCCAGAGATGCCAGGAAACCAAATTATGAACAGGAAGCCAAAGCAAAGGTAGTGAAAACATTAAGTGAGAAAGCATGATTTAAAGAAATGTGAGGTGGAGTGACGCCTGGGTGGCCCAGTGAGTTAAGCCCAGGTCAGGATCAGGGGTCCTGGGATTAGGCCCCACATTGGGCTCTCTGCTCCGTAGGGAATCTGCTTCTCCCTCTCCCTCTGTGCTCTCTCTCTTGCTCTTGTTTTCTCTCATAAAGCAAATAAAATATTTAAAGGAAGAAGGGGAGGAAGGAAAAAAAAAAGAAGGAAGAAGGGAGCAGGAGGTTGAAAGGCTGGAGGTAGGAACACTGAGTATTAACCAAACCTCTTTTCTATGCCATGTGGGCCAGATGCCTAACATGAAAGACCCTCACCCAAATCTGAGTTCACTGCTGTTTCTTTATATCACTCAGGACCCTGCCCCTGCATGGGTCTCTGAGTGTTGGGACACAGGACACCTCACTTTAGGTATAGAACATATATATGTTCAATCCTGCTCCGTCTGGACTCTGGCCTTCTTAACAAAACCAGCCAACCAGGAGGATTCTCTCCCAGGAGCAAGAATACATTTCTGGTGGGACCCCCTGGGTGGCACAGTCGGTCGAGTTTCCGACTTGATTTTGGCTCAGGTTGTGGTATCAACCATAATACCGTGAAATATCAGGCCGGTATCATTTCAAGTCATGAGATGGAGCCAGGCCTCGAGTCAGGTGCTGAGCATGGAGCCAGCTTAACATTCTTTCCCTCTGCCCCCAACTCCAACCCCCTGGCTGGCCCATGTGCGCACTCTCTCTCTCCCCGTCTCTAAATAAAATTTTTTTTTTAAGAATTCATGCTTGAGGTGCCTGGGTGGCTCAGTGGATTAAGCCTCTGCCTTCGGCTCAGGTCATGATCTCAGGGTCCTGGGATCGAGCCCCACATCGGGCTCTCTGCTCAGCAGGGAACCTGCTTCCCCCTCTCCCACTCTGCCTACTTGTGATCTGTGTGTGTGTGTGTGTGTGTGCGTGTGTGTCAAATAAATAAATAAAATATTTTTAAAATAATTAATTAATTAATTTAAATAAATAAATAAGAGTTCATGCTTGGCCTCTTTGGGAAGCATGTGATTTACTCATTCCTCCTAAAGAGGAAAGTGTGTTGTGAGATAGAAATACCCATTATAAATTAATTAAATGATGTAGCGAAAGGGAAGTCCTTTGCAAACTCTGACAATCGTGGCTGCCATTTGTTGAACACCAGTTGTGTCCAGCATCAAGCATGTTGCATCTCATGTAAACGTTCCAACTCATTTGTAGGATACTATTTATTATCTCAAACAATGTGTCGATGTCACTTATTCTTATGAAAGGCTTATAACAAAATGAAAAGTTTTTAATACATTTAAATATTAAACGGCCTATAAAAGTATTTTTAGAATATAATAACTATGTAAAACAGATTTTTAAAATACTGAAAGTTGGAAGTAATAAAATGTCAACAGTGTATTTAGGTAATGAAAAGGGAGTGATTCTCACCTTTTCTTTCTATTTACCTGTATATTCCAATGGAAAAGTTAGAATTCATCATATACATGAATAAATACTTTTTAAAAAATTAAAATACTGCAGAATTACTTGAACCTTTCTGGAGATGATTCTTTGGTAGCCTTTTCAATTATTTCCTTTAGGACTGGTTTATTTTATGTTTTTCTGCCTTTTAAAAAAATATTTTATTTTTAAGTAGTCTCTACACCCAACATGGGGCTTGAACTCACAGCCCCAAGATCGAGAACTGGACTCTCCACCAACTGAGCCAGCCAGGTGCCCCATAGATTTTGTTACTTCTTGAATGAATTTTGGAATTAAAGTTTCTTTCCCCCACCAATTTCATTGAGTTTTTTAAAATTTTTATAGCAGACGTCTTCATCTGCTATTCGTCATTTACAATTTTTAAATTTTTTTTCAATTGAATTTACCGTAGGTTTGTGGGGTTTTTTATGTTTCCTTTTTTTGTTTTTTAGCTTGAATACCATTAGTTTTTTATAAAAGAGAGACATGAAAATTATTTACATGATGAAAGATTTCACTTCACTGGAATAGGCAGCTTCACTTCATGTCATTTTAACAATGATTCCAGTCCATATACTTTCCGATGTCACAATCTCAAAATAAGAAATAATCCTTGTCATCTAGAACTGCTTTGGTGCCTCCATATTCTGGGAGAAGAATTTTATCTCCAACTTTCACACTAACTGGTTGAATATCTCTACCCTTTCTTTTAGAGCCCTATCCAATAGCTACTACTGTTGCTTGCAACACTTTTGCTTGAGATTTTTCTGGAAGCATAATACCTCCTTTGGTGCAGTTTCAGCTGCCCTCCTTTCAACTAAAACTCCATCAAAGAGGGGAAGAAACTTGCTAAATGCTTGCCTTGTCATGACTCCGGCTACCACCCCGGTTCTTACAGGTTTGTGTTTTTTAATAGGCTTGCTTAATAAGCTTATTTTTAACAGGCTTGTTTATAAATGTTTCATTCTTGGATCTCTTAATGTCACATTTTCTGTGTTCTAATTCATTTGCTTGTTCTTTTATCCCTATTTCTTTTCTAACCTTTCCCTTGGGGATTTCCTTCTCATCCTTTTTCTAATTTCTTGAGTGCTTAGTTCATTCGTTTTTCTCTTTTTAAATTTTATTTTTTAAGATTTTATTTATTTATTAGAGCACAAGCAGGGGGAAAGGCAGAGGGAGAGAGAAAGGGAGAAGCAGACCCCTGCTGAGCAGGGAGCCTGACATGGACTTGATCCCAGGACTCTGGGATCATGACCTGGGCCAAAGGCAGATGCTTAACCAACCAAGCCACCCAGGCACCCCTCTTTTTTTTTTTTTTTTTTAATAATTAAAGCAAGTGAGAATATACATCCATCGAATGCTGTTATTTTTAACAATGTTATTTGTGGGGTGGTTTTTTGTTTTTGGTAGCTTTGGAAGATCTAAACAGAGAAGAAGAGGGCCCTGGGTGTCATACACCAGGCTGCCTGCTTATGCCTCAATCGTGAAGGCAGAGAGGCTCTATCCAGGTAGAGGAAGGATGTCACCAAGTCAAGGACAAGAGCCAGGGTTTTACCAGGAAGCCTCATTCTGACTGATGCGCAGCCACTCACATTTCCACAGCCAGGTGTTCCAAGGCTCTGGCAAGCTGACTGTCTGAAGCTGATGGCTGCCTGAAGCTGGGGGCATCCCTGAAGAATATTCTGGATTCCTTAAGAAGTTTAGGACCTGGAGCAGGGTTTGTGTTTGGAAACTGGTGAGAGACTTTGATACAAGACATTAGGTAAGAAGGGAGAAACATGCCAGTGAGTTCACTGCACTGAAGGGGGCTCAACTGAAGTTGAGCGTTGTCTGCGTTTTTCACTTGCTCAGCCAGCGATGAGGACGTGTTATGCCACAGTCAAGGGAAGGGGCTGGCTTTCCATCATGTACTTCTAATGGAAAGAAGGCAGAAGTTATGCTGTTTTTAAATTTCTCTCCCAGAGAGGACAGTTCTGTAAAGCTGGTTTACTTGGAAGTTATTTATTTCTGCATTTCCTAAATGACACTTCCAGGTTTATTTTTTAATTTTTTTTAGGTTTATTTATTTATTTTAAAGAACACGCGAGCTGGGGAAGGGGCAGAGGGAGAGAGAGAGAGAGAGAAGCTGTCTCCCCGCTAAGCGCAGAGCCTGATGAGGGGCTCAGTCTCGGGACCCTGAGATCATGACCTGAGCCAAAATCAAGAGTTGGACGCTTAACTGACTGAGCCACCCAGGCACGCAAGTTTATTTGATCACTTATATTTGCCCTACGAAGCATAGTGAAGTTGAATCTGATTTTCATCTGAAAGTAGTTATATCCTTTTACAAGATGACATGTCAGGCGAAGAATTTCAGAGAGAAAGCGATATTGATGGCATTTCCCAAACAGGGAAATTGTTTGTGGGTTGTGAAGAATAAATGAGGTTTTAAAACAAGTGTCTTTCCTGTTTATACCAGTAACAAATTTTTGTAAAAAGTTAAATTTTAGAGGGGCACCGGGCTGGTTCAGTCCGTAGAGCATGTGACTCTTGATCTCAGGGTTGTAAATTTGAGCCCCACGTTGGATGTAGAGAGATTACTTAAAATCTTTTAAAAAAAAAACTTTACTTTCACAAAAATATATAAAATGAAGTTCTCTGTAAGTTTACCCCAATTAAGAACACATTTAAGATAATTATTCTATAAAAACAATCATATACTGTTTTGTTTTGTTTTTAAAGATTTTATTTATTTATTTATTTGGCAGAGAGAGAGAGCACAAGTAGGCAGAAAGGCAGGCAGAGGGAGAGAGAGAAGTGAGCCTGATGTGGTACTCGATTCCAGGACCCTGGGATCATGACCTGAGCTGAAGGCAGATGCTTAACCAACTGAGCCACCCAGGCGCCCCCCCAATACTGTTATATAACTTACCTTTTTTTTAAGATTTTATTTATTTATTTGACAGAGAGAGACGCAGCGAGAGAGAGAACACAAGCAGGGGAAGTGGGAGAGGGAGAACGAGGCTTCCCGCAGAGCAGGGAGCCCGATGCGGGGCTCAATCGAGGGCCCTAGGATCATGACATGACCTGAGCCAAAGTCAGATGCTTAATGACTGAGCCACCCAGGCACCCCAATATAACTTACTTTTTAAATTCAATCTGCCTTTGGCATCTTTTAGTTTTTAAAAAGGTTATGGATATAAAAAAATCTAAGTTCCCAAATGTGGACATTTGGGTTTCCCCAATTTAAATAAACAATGTTTCTTTGTATATGTTTTAACATGTGTGTTTTATTTTAAAGATTTATTTACTTATTTTAGAGCTTGAGAGCTGGAGGAGAGGGAGAAAGACAGAGAATCTCAAACAGACTCCCTGCTGAGTGTAAAGCCCCAAGTGGGGCTTGATCTCACCACCATGAGATCATGACCTGAGTGGAAACCAAGAGTTGGTGGCTCAAACAACTGAGCCACCCAGACACCCCTTGTGTAAGTATTTCTGTGTAAATAACTCCAAGAAGCTACGTTGTTGGATCAAGAGGTATGGACATACTAATTTTAAGGTCTTGCCTTCAGAAAATATACAACCCAAGAATGCCTGTACTTTCACATACTTTCCAATACTAAATATGACCAGTCTTTTTATCTTTAGTAATCTGAATAATTTTTTTAATTGTTATTGTTTTAATTAAAATTATTACTGAACTTGAGCACATTTTCATGTTGTCTATTTGTGTTCTATAAATGCTTACCTACGTTGTTTGCCAATTTTTCTATTGGCTTGGTAGTACTTTCCTTATTTTTTGTAAGAGGACTTTGTGTATTAGGAAAATCAGTCCTGTGTCTTTTAGATGGTGACATATTTTACTCTGAGCTTATACTTTAGTTTTTATTTTCTTCATTTAATATTCCAAATTTTTACATCATCAGTTCCATTTATCTTTTCCTTTGTGGGTTTTCAGTTATATGTCTTTAGGGTTTTATGTCATGCTTATATCCCTCCTCACTCCAAGGTAGCAGTAGCTTCCCATCCTATCTCCCTGCTTCTGTCTTTGTCCAACCCCCTTCACTTACAAGTTTATTTTTAACACAGCAGCCAGAAAACTCTTTCAATACCTATATCTGAACATGTTACTCTCCTGCTCAGAAATTCTGAATGACTTCCCATCTTGGAGTAAAAAAAAATATATGTATCCTTGAATTCACCCAAAACCCTCATATCGTTCCCTCTCTCTACTCCCAACACCCTTTTGTTGCCTTAGTTCTAGACACACAAGCCCCCTTCCGGTGCCTAGACTATTTCAAACACACTCCACTCCAGGCTGTGCGTTTGCTATCCCTCTTCCTGAAACAGATTTACCCCTGATGATACACTCACTCATCTCCCTCAGTCCTTGCTTTAATATAAGTATACTAGTGAGGTCCTCCATGACCACCCTATTTAAAATTGCATTACTTCATTCTCACTCCAAACTTCGTGTTTCCTTTATTTTCTCCTTGGCACTAACATGCACCATCTAATATACTATATATTTTTCTTGTTTATTGCCTGCCTCCCTACCTCATACACAGAAGAACACACACTAAATTACAAATTCCCATTAAGTCAAGGGTATTATTTTCCTTTAACCTGCAGTTCCAGCTTCCAGAACAGTGCCTGGTGTAGCAGGTGAATAATCAATATTTGTGTAAGAAAGCGAAAGAGGGAGAAAAAAATTAAGCATTTCTAACCCATCAGATTGGCAAACATCAAAATATCTATGACATTGTTGTAAGGCCCTCGTTGGCCAGAGGAAGCCATTTTGTTGCGGTGAACTTGTATTGACCCTGCCCCTCCCAGAGGAATTTGCTTGCAAAGCCTAGATACAAGGGTGGGGCAGGCCGGATAAAGACATCCAATCAGTGGGGCTTGTGTATATCAACTAGGGTGAATTGAAATTCAATTGGCCACCTGTGTGTGGGAGGGGCTCAACCACCTCTATAAAGGTTGGTCTGCAAAGCTGTCGGGGGGCAGAAGGAAAGCTATTGGAGGCAGGAGACGGAGAGTTGTGAGCCATCAGAGCTCTTGTAAGAGCCGTCAGAGCTGTCACAGCTCTTGTCAGAGCTATAAGAGCAGCCTCGCTGCCAGCAGTTTTGCCACCACAGAGCCGTGGCCCTGCCGCCCGAGCCACAGCCCTCGGCAGTGGCGTGGCGACACAGCGAACAGAACAGCCTAGCCCCCAGCAACCTCGTCAGGAGCGGCCCTGCCCTGAGCAGCCTCGCTGTGGGGAATCACACCTCGCCAGGAGGGGCCTCACCAGAGAGGCGTCATTCTGGGGAGTGGCCTCGTTGGCAAGCAGCCTCCTCCGGAGCAGCCTCATCTGGAGTGGCCTAGTCTGGGTTGCAGCCTCGTCTGGAGCGGTGGCCTCTGGGGAGCAGCCTTACCAGAGTGGTGTCATGGAGAGTAGAGCCTGGGTCATTGAGGTTGTTGTCATTGTCACTGTTGTCATTGCCTCTTTGTCGTTGGGAGCGGCCTCATTCCTGGGAGCAGCTTCCTCCAGAGTGGCCTCTTTTTGGGAGCAGCCTTGTCTGGGGAGCAGCCTTTCCAGTGCAGCCCCTATCTAGGGAGTGGCCCTGTCTGGGGAGTGATATCAGCAGCAGCCTTGTCCAGAGTGGCCTATTCTTGGGACTGGGTCCGAACAGGGAGTGGCCTCGTCCGGAGTGGCCTCATCTGTGGAGCAGCCTCATCCAGAGTGGCCTCATCCGGAGTGGCCTTCTTGGGAGTGACCTTGTCGGAGTCCTCATTGTCATCTCTTCGTAAGAGATGGCCCCTACCAGTTTGATTTTTGATGCTTGGTGTGAAATAAAGCTTTGTTTGACTTTCAATCTATATCAGTGTCCTTCCTTTGATTAGGGACCCTAACAATTGCGTTGACAAGTATAGGTAAACAGAACATCTCTCTTAGGGTTTATGATTGGTAATATAGCACTAACAAAAATACAAATGTCCCTACTCTGTACTCTTAGTAATTCTATTTCTAGGAATATATACTATGTAAATACCCTTGGGCATGAGAAAGATTTATGTTTACAGTAATTTATTCCAGCAGCGTTTCAAAAAGAAGATTGGAAACAACCTGCCTGACCATCATCAGTGGGGTAACCATTAATGGATGATGGCCCACACAATGAATACTGTGCAATTGATTAAAAAGGGCAGGTCGAGGAAACCCTTTATGCACAATCTCCAATATTAGTTACTAGGAGGAAGCAAGCAAGGCGCAGAAATGCTACCTTTTATGCAGGAGGAAAGCAAGGGGGATATGTACCTGCCTGACCCGTGTACAGAACAGTACGTGTCTGGGAAAAAGTCAAGCTGTCAAAAGCAAATGCTGGAGGACACTTACTCTTTTTAAATGTTGAACTGTGTGAATCCATTACTTTTTCATACTACGTATCTAATAAGTAAACCCAAAAAATTCGTGAGAGGGGAAAAGTTTTGAAAAAGAACAAAGAGGATACGCCTGCAGGCCTGCGAACAACCCGCTTATAAACGTGGTCCTCCACGGGCGGGGCCACCGAGGCGAGGTATCCTAGAGCGGCCGGAAGTGCCCGGGCCCCGGCGGGGCGCCCATTGGTCGGCTGGAGTCCAGCCTTTGTTCCCGGCCGCCGAGGAGTGGCTGCTGCGGCGGGCGAATCCGTCTTGCGTCTGCCGCTTCTGCGGGGGTGGTCCAGGGTCGGCCCTCCGCGAGTGGACGGGGTGACCGTCCCCACAGCCGCCGAACGCCAGGCCTGCGCCTCTCGGGCGTGGAGTCCGTGAGCCTCCTCGCAAAGCTGTGAGGCGTTTCTCCTCACAAAGCGGTGACCCTCGGGCTTCGTTGAGTGCTGACGGGCGCCGGCCGCTCCCCGACCCAGAGAGAACCGGGAGACCGACGGCCGGGGAGTCGCGTCGGCAGCGGGCACTTTCATTCAGAGCGCAGAGCTGAGTCGGCCGTGGGCGCCCCGGTGCCCTTCATCAGCGTGTGAGTGTTCACGGCAGCTTTCGTCCTTTCTCCGCCGCAACGGCGTTCTGTGACGCGGTTCCGAGAGGTTCTCCTTGGGGCCGCGCCGGACAGGGTTAATCTCACGCGCAGCGCACGATGGCCGCAGCCCCGGCACCCCCCGGACGAGGGCTAGCAGTAGTGAAGGCCGAAGACCGTCGCGGCGGACAGGACTGCGTCTCACAGCACTGCACCCCTCACAGGAGGGAAGTCTTCCGGCAGCACTTCAGGAAGCTCTGCTACCGCGACGCGCCCGGTCCCCGGGAAGCCCTCACCCAGCTCTGGGAGCTCTGCCGCCAGTGGCTGCGGCCCGAGTGCCACACCAAGGAGCAGATTTTAGACCTGCTGGTGCTGGAGCAGTTCCTGAGCATCCTTCCCGGGGACCTGCAGGCCTGGGTGCAGGCGCACCACCCGAGGACGGGCGAGGAGGCCGTGACCGTGCTGGAGGACCTGGAGCGGGAGCTGGACGAGCCTCGGAAGCAGGTGGGCAGGGGACGCTCGGGGCGCGCGCACCAGGCCGGCACCAAGCCGGTGACAGGACACCCGGGGGTACTTCACGGGTCGGCCTAGAGGAGAACAAGGCTTAGGGAGGGCGCCGGCTGCCGGGGCCAAGTAACTGGAGCGTGGTTTAGGACAGTCGCGGGAAACGCAGAGTCCGATGCAAGGCTGGGATCCGTAAGGAGTTACAGGAGGGCAAGTAGGTAACAGAGGAAAGCAAAGAATTCTCCAGCATTCATAGCTACTAAAAAATGGGCTACCTGGTGGAAAAAAAAAAAAAACTCCCTTTCAATGGGAATAGTCACGGCGAGTTCAAGTAGATGTCAAGGATATCGCAGAACAGCACTGTCCGAAAGAAATACAATGTGAGTCTTATGTGTAGTTAAATTTTCTAGTAGCCACATTTCAGAAAATGAGACTAAATATATTTTGTCATTTAACCCAAAGTAATCATGTAATCAGTATGAAAAATGAGATATTTTACATTCCTTTTTAGCATTGTTTTTAAAATTCAGTGTATATTTTACGGTCTGCCTGTCTCCATTCCTACCAACCACATTTCAGGCGCCCAGTAAGCACACTGTGCTTGTGGCTATGGTATGGGACAATGCAGTTAGAGAAGAAATACCCCCACTTGGTGGAGGTTGGGCTAGGTAATTTTTAAGGTTCTTTCCAAGTCTCAAGACTGTGATCCTGGACCTCTGCCAATCATTGTGAGAAGACACTGAATTTCACTCTCCAGTGGCCTGAAGTGCCGAGATTAATTTCTGCCTCCTCTTTTTTTGAGTCATTATTGCTATTTGCAATTGAATGAGAATTTTTCCCATTTGTGTTCCTGGTCCCTGGCAAATGCTTCTTTTGAGCTTTTCTCTTAAGTTCTTTAAGTTCTTTCAGAAAATCTACCTTACAGACCCAGTCATACTTCATTGTTCCCCAGGTCCCAGCCAATTCAGAAAGACAGGACACACTTTTGGACAAGTTGACCCCCTTGGGAAGGCCCCATGACTCACTGACTGCGCAGCTCCATCCCAAGAAGATTGAGCGGGAGCAGGAATCTGGTGAGCCCCAGAGGAATGGTAAGGAGCAAGAGTTTATGTGTGTGAGGGTAGATACGATTCCTTGTGTTAGAAAGGAGCTTTCTCACTTTGATGTTCTCCTTTTCAAGTTTTCTTGCTTATCTTCCACCTCACTGTAGAAGATTTTATTCCCCTACCTACCCTTGCCTTATCATGGAAAGAATTATATTTTAGTTTTTCATTAGACTTAAAAACTGCTTTTTGGCTCAGTGGATGGGGGTTGGGATTTAAATACTCATTGTAGTTAATGATACCTTACATTTCTATTTGTTGATATCTGATGCGTCTAGTTCTAAATTCTCTTAAATTTACATTTTTAAATTCATATGATACCCTGTATTAGTCTGTTAGGGCTGTCAGAACAGACTACCACAAGCCTGGTGACTTACACAACAAAAATTTATTTTCTCACAGTTGTGGAGGCTGGAAAGCCCAAGATCAAGGTATTAGTCGCCTTGGTTTCTGGTGAGGCTTCTCTCCTTGACTCACAGACTCGCTGTGTCTTCACATGGCATTTTTTTTTTTTTTTTAAGATTTTTTATTTAATTATTTGTCAGAGAGAGAGAGGGAGAGAGAGCAAGCACAGGCAGACAGAATGGCAGGCAGAGGCAGAGGGAGAAGCAGGCTCCCTGATGAGCAAGGAGCCCGATGTGGGACTCAATCCCAGGACGCTGGGATCATGACCTGAGCCGAAGGCAGCTGCTTAACCAACTGAGCCACCCAGGCGTCCCTTCACATGGCATTTTTGCTGTGCACACATACTCTTGGGATCTCTTCCTTTGTAAGGATGCCAGTCCTATTGGGTAAGGGCCCCACCCTTCTAACCTCATTTATTCTTAATTACTTCTTAAAAACCCCTTTTCCAAATGCAATCACATTGAAGGTTAGAGCTACAACATAAATGGGTGAGGGGTGGGGAGATACAGGGCACAATTCAGTCCCTAATACTCGCTCACACTGAAAGAAGCAGGGAAGGGGGAGCAAGAACTAGTCAGTATAATAGGCTTTTTGTTTCTCCATGTTATGTTGACTGGGTTTGGGTTGTGGTTTGCTTCCCCACCCCAGTAATCAGTTCACTAATTGAAAACCAGACGTCTAGTATATTCCCAGGCTTCAGTAAAAAGTTAAAAAACTTTAAATTCCAGTTTGCCCAAATGCTGTTTTTTTCAGTGCTCCCTGTCCTTTTCTGCAGGCTCTTGTATCCATACTGCTTTGCCTGGCCTATTACGGAATCCATTCTCACTATTTTAAATTTTACCAGTAGGGTTCTCTCATTCTCTAGGTTCCCTGCCATGTGATTTGTCTAATCTGATAAATGATTTTAAGATTTTAAGATTTGTAGTTCATACTTGGAAAGATGGCATTCAATTATGTATAATTTAAAGGAGTCTTTTCATGCTTTAAAGCATAGTGTTGGTTACTGGTTACCTTTTGAGGTGAGGTTGAGAACCCCTGTTCTGTTCATTCTTCTTTTATTAAACATTTGTTGAGCAGCAGCTACACGCTAGGCACTGTGTTAGATGTCAGGAATACAAAGGAATGACTTCTTCAAAAAACAAAAGTGAGCAGTTGTGCTATGACCCCACACAAACACAAAAAAAGACAGCTATCCCTGTGGCAGGCCCACAAAGTGTCACAGAGTAGGTTTGCTTGAGCTGAGATGGTCAGACGGGTGGGAACTAGGAAGGGAGAACATCCCAGGGGATAGGTGAGGGTGAAAGCTTAACACTAGGAACAGTAGTTGCTCTGAGTTGATTTTGATGAAGAGAATTTTGTGGAAGGGAAAAATCAAATGCCAGTGGTGAAGGTTCCTGAAACAGACAGAGGTCTGTTACATTATTTTATTTGTTTATTTACTTATTTTTTAGTTAGTTGTTTTTTTTAAGTTTTTTTGGTTTGGTTTGGTTTCGTTTTTTACACAGAGAGAGAATGAGAGAGGGAACACAAGCAGGGGGAGTGGGAGAGGGAGAAGCAGGCTTCCTGCAGAGCAGGAAGCCCGATGTGGGGCTTGATCCCAGGACCCTGGGATCATGACCTGAGCCGAAGGCAGGCGCTTAATGACTGAGCCATCTAGGCACCCCATAAAGTGGGAGTATCTTAATGTGTGAAAACCTAGAGTGGATTCAGTTTTTATACATGTGAATTTGCTGTATCTCAAGCATCCATCCAGTGGGCAGTGCAGTTTAAAATATGGTTCTAGGGGCGTCTGCCTTCAGCTCGGGTCACGATCCCAGGGTCCTGGGATTGAGTCCCACACATCAGGCTCCCTGCTCTGCCAGAAGCCTTCTTCTCTCTCGCCCACTCCCCCTGCTTATGTTCCCTCTTGCTGTGTCTCTCTCTGTCAAATAAATAAATAAAATCTTTTAAAAAAATAAAATAAGGTTCTAGATGTAGGAGAAAGATGTGGGAGGAGATAAGAGATTTGGGAATCGTCCCTAGGTAGGTGATAGAAGACATGGCTGCAGATGAAGTTGACCAAGAATGTATAAAGTGAAGAGAGGTACGTGCACATTTTGAAGGCATGCCACCATTTGAAGTTTGAGTGGAGGAAGAAGATTCTATAAAAAAGATCAGGGACTGTCAGAGACGTGAGAAGCAGAAGAGGGTGGTGTCACTGGAGACACCAGGAGCCGCAGCAAGCTATAGCCAGTGCTACCAGTGGCACACAGGATCAGAACTGAGAAGCATCCACTTACTGATTTTGGCATTTAGTTAGTGGTAGTCAAGAATAGTTTCAGAAGGTAGAAGCTAAAAGACGCAGGCTATTTGAATAAAGGTGCAGGCTGTTTGAATAAGCTTTAGTAACCTCGACTATGTGGGGTCTTCACTTTTTTTGTGTGAGCAGGCATATCATAAGAAATTTCTCTCCCTGCCTTTGGAAGGAGACAAGACATGCAGTCAGTCATAAAACAGGTCACAATAATATTTTAACATGTCAACATGCTAAATTCTATGGAGAATACAGGATTATGACTAATGGATAGTCTATGCAAAACTTTTAAGGTCTAGATGGTCTTTCCCTTTTTTTAATAGATATTTCTAGACTAGTTCCACTCTATTTTGTGTTACAAGTTCAGAAAAATACACAGTTCTTATACCTAAAATCGTAGAGGTTTACACATGTGAGGCTATTAAAGTAACTTTTCAAGGAAAAATAGGAATGGTCTTTTCTTAATCTAATCTACTGAAGGGTGCTTCATGAAATGTAGCTATCCTGTGAGGCCTGAGAATTTTTAGGGAATCCCTTCTGTCTACACTTAACAGTGTGAATAGGACTTTTTCCTAAGGTGCAAGCACCAAGGGCCGTACACAGTTTTTACCTGTGTCACCACCACCACCACCATCATACCCCCCCCCAACCAAAATAACAGACAAGCAAAAAACAAAACCCACCAAAACAATACAAAAACAAACTGCAGAAATCACAACATATTTCAGGACGTGTCTCTCAACTTTATTAAAAGCATGTGATGTCCAGTCCAAATCCTCATTTTACAGTTGATGAAATATAACCACGGTGCTTATGACTTGTCTAGGTTTCCAAAGAGTAAGAGGCAGAGCTGAGAGTACAGTCAGAACCTGAGGTTCCTGCCTACTGGTCCAGAACAATTATTAAAAGCCATCAGGATAATGTACCAAAAAGTCACTGTTTTTCAAAATATAAATTTATTGTTAAATAGGCTTTTATTTTTTGTTTCAAAAAAACTCATTGTGGTCTCCTGAGTGACTCAGTTGGTTAAGCATCTCACTTGGGCTCAGGTCATAATCCCAAGGTCCTGGGATCAAGCCCCACATCAGGCTCCTTGGTCAGCGGGGAGCCTGGCTCTCCCTTTCCCTCTGCTGCTCCTCTTGCTTGTGCTTTCTTGCTCTGTCAAATAAATAAATAAAATCTTTTTTAAAAAAGCTATCGTAGGGACGCCTGGGTGGCTCAGTTGGTTAAGCGGCTGCCTTCAGCTCGGGTCGTGATCCCAGTGTCCTGGGATCAAGTCCCACATCGGGCTCCTTGCTCAGCAGCGAGCCTGCTTCTCCTCTGCCTCTGCCTGCCACTCTGTCTGCCTGTGCTCGCTTTCTCTCTCTCTCTCTGACAAATAAATAAAATCTTAAAAGAAAAAAAAAAAAAAGCTATTGTATCAGGCACCTGGGTGGCTCAGTGGGTTAAGCCACTGCCTTCAGCTCGGGTCATGATCTCAGGGTCCTGGGATCGAGTCCCGCATCGGGCTCTCTGCTCAGCGGGGAGCCTGCTTCCCTCTCTTTCTCTCTGCCTGCCTTTCTGCCTACTTGTGATCTCTGTCTGTCAAATAAATAAATAAATAAATAAATCTTAAAAAAAAAAAGCTATTGTGTCCATACCAGCAAGGTATTATTATTTGTATTCGTTTTTGGCTAGGATAATAGGACTCTTCTCCATAAACATAACTGGAAATTACAATAGCAATAATCACATAATAGAAAATTATAGTTGTAAATGACAAAAGAACTCGGAGAGCTGAGTATCTGGCAGTTCTTTGTAGCACATTTTAAAGTATTTCAAAGGGAACTAACTAACCCACAACACTGTCTCTCCATTAGCAAATAAATGAGTCTCCTTAACTCCATTCCAGTTTCATTTCACTCAGCATTTAACCTTGTCCTTGCTCCCTTAGATTGTCAAGCAAGTGCATACAGATGATCTTTGTGGACCTGGACTTATCTCAAATTCTAACTGATAAGGACTCTTAGTATTATATATGCCAAAATAACATTGGAAGGACAGCCTGGCAGAAGATGTTAGATCCAAATATTTTTCACTTTGTCTGTTCTAAACAAAGGTCTCTTGGTGCACCTGGGTGGCTCAGTCAGTTAAGCATCTGACTCTTGATTTCAACTCAAGTCATGAACTCAGGGTCATGACATCGGGCTCAATACTTAGTGGGGAGTCTGCTTGAGATTCTCCCTCTGCCCCTCCTCCCACCGATGCCCTCGCTCTCACTCTCTCTATCTCTCACATAAGTAAATCTTTGAAAGAAGGTCTCTTGCAATCCTGCTGGCCTGGGATTAGCTGGCACTTGGAAGAGATACATAAACAAGGCCCTGAAATTCCAGTTGACCCAGAAATGGACTATAGATCCTTAAGATGAGAAAACTTCCCATTTGACAATTTCCATACAATATTATTCTGTACATTGTTCAATTACAGATCTAAGGGTTATCATTTCAATTGCTGACCAAGAAAAACCAACTCTGTATTTAAAAAAAAAAAAAAAAAGCCTCTTAAAGTCCTGGTGAGATTTTTCTCTAGATTTCTCCTGAAATCATGGTAGAGAGAAACTCATCCTGAGGACTAGTAGATGACGCTGAAGATGATGGACTGACCACTCAGATTTGTGTCTTTTTTTTTTTTTTTAATATTCATCTTCATCATTAAGCCACAGGAAAGCCAACCAGTGGTGACAGCTGTATATAAAAGAAGCAGTTGAGCCAACCGATATGCTGATGTTTGAGAACACTTTTCTTAATGGTATGAGGGTGTCTCTGATTACCATGATTTGCTTGATCATTATTACCCTACTAACTCAGCAATACTTCTGTCACACATTACACTTTTATAAATGCTTTACTATACATTCCCTCATCTAATCAAACTATAGGAAAAGAGGGCACAGAGGTGATAAGGAAACCAAAACAGCAGTCATCTGCCAAAATTTAAGCAGTTATCAGACAATTCCAAGGCTGGAATTTAGACCTTCTGGCTCTAACTTAGTCCTGTCATTTCTAGCCAAAGATAATACGGCATTTAGGTTCCAGAACAATATCATCTAAGAGGAAATATCCAAACTTCGAGAAGGTCTACTGCCTGATTTAAAAAAGAGAAAAGGGGGCACCTGGGTGGCCCAGTCATTAAGCATCTGCCTTTGGCTCAGGTCGTGATCCCAGAATCCTGGGATCAAGCCTCGCATCAGGCTCCCTGCTTGGCAGGAAGCCTGCTTCTCCCTCTCCTACTTCCCCTGCTTGTGTTCCCTCTCTCGCTGTGTATCCCTCTGTCAAATAAATAAATAAAATCTTTTTTAAAAAATGATCATTAAGAAAGAACCAATTTGAGAAAGACTGGTAGCAAGGGGACATGGTGATGACAGTGCAGAGCGGACTTCATAGAATGGCACTCAGCCATGTGAGCCAGTGTTCCGCCCCCAGCTCAGGCACTGAAATGTCCTGGTAGCTCTTGCTGCTGCTTCTGTCATGCCAGGTGACCGACCACTGAAATTCGTAATAAAATGACTGTCACAGTGAAGATTCCTAGGTTTGTTGAGATGGTGGTCACAGCATGACCATATAGGTGACACTTTCCATTCCCTCCAAATCATCAAAAGAGCTACTGTCTGATAAAATTCATCTCAACAAATATTGAGTACTTGCTATTGTGTGCTGTTCTGTACTAAGCTTGGGGTTAAGGACATGGGGAGCAGGAAAAAGAGAACACATCCAATTTGTGAGATTAGGGAAGACTTTTGGAGGACAGAGCATTTGAGATGGACCTTGAATAATACCTAGGCGAGTGGTTCTCAAAAGTGTGGTTCCTGGACTATTAGTATCTGTCACACCAGGAAACTTGTTAGAAATGCAAATTCTTGGGGCACCTGGGTGGCTCAGAGGGTTAAGCCTCTGCCTTCCGCTCAGGTCATGATCTCAGGGTCTTGGGATCGAGCCCCGCATCAGGCTCTCTGCTCAGCAGGGAGCCTGCTTCCTCCTCTCTCTCTGCCTGCCTCTCTGCCTACCTGTGATCTCTGTCAAATAAATAAATAAAATCTTAAAAGAAAAGAAATGCAAATTCTTAAGCTCTACTCCAGCTTTATCAAATCATAAGTTCTGGGGTCGGGAAGCATGGCATCTGTTTTAATAAGTCATCCAAGGTGATTCTGATGCACAATCAAGTTTGAGAACCACAGTGCTAGGATCTGGACAGCAAGAGATGATAGTTTCAGAAAAAAGGATTCAACCCAGCACATACACCAGACCATCCATTATCACTTCCTACTAATCTTCCTGGATTTATCTTGACCTACATGTTCTTAAGTCTGCTTTTAATTATTATCCTTCACACATTCCCCTCCTTTGATGGTTCCTATTCACTGCATTCCTCTCAGATCCCTGATCCCACTGTCCTCCACTTTTACTGAATTTTACTAGCACTTAAGCACCTGTGTTTCAGGCCCCTGCATGTTTCTCCCAAACTTTTACCTCCCTTCCCAGTTCCGTTCCTCGATCCCCGTCTGCTCCTCTTAATTATCCATGGCACATCTCCAATCCCCATTTCCCACTCACTCTGCCTTTGCACAGGATTGCCAGGTAATCCACATCATTGGGATCCACATCACTGCCTTTTCCTCTCTTCTGAATCAGCTCCCAAAGAATGTATTCTGCTGCTCTCTTCCCCACTGGCCTCTTAATCTCTTCCTTACATTGTCATATATGTTTTGATGGTGCCAAATATCTAGTTTGTGCATTGTATGTGACTTTGTTTTTTATAACACATTTATAACATTTACGTGTTCGTCCTTTCATAGGCTTTGCTTCCCGAACCTAGACTAGGACATGTTTGTGTACTCTTTGTTACAGGTGATCAAACCAAAACTAAGAATCAAGCGTTGTCCCAGAAGGAAGATATGCCCAAGGACACAGAATTCCTTGGGAAGATAAATGACAGACTTAACAAAGACATTCCTCAACATCCTGAATCCAGAAATGCTACTGAAAGTGAGGGAAGATTAGAGGGGCAGCAGAGGGAAAGAAGACGCTATGCATGTGAGGACTGTGGGAAAAGTTTCAGTCACAGCTCAGACCTTAGTAAGCACAGAAGGACTCACACTGGAGAAAAGCCCTACAAATGCGATGAATGTGGAAAAGCCTTCATTCAACGCTCCCATCTCATTGGACACCACAGAGTGCACACTGGAGTGAAACCCTATAAATGTGAAGAATGTGGGAAAGATTTTAGTGGGCGCACAGGTCTTATTCAGCATCAGAGAATCCACACAGGTGAAAAACCCTATGAATGTGATGAGTGTGGGAGGCCCTTCCGTGTAAGTTCAGCCCTGATCAGACATCAAAGAATTCATACAGCACATAAGCTCTACTAAGATGGTGAAGTAACAGAAATTCTTTAGCTACTCAGGTCTCCTTAGATACCAGAGAATCTGCCTTAGGGACTGAGTATCCTGAATGCAGGCAAAGCTTCAGTCATCATGGAACATTTCTCTGGCACCAGAGAATCTATCTGAGAAGATTTCCTTTTCTTTCTAAATTAGTTCAGTTTCTTAGGAAGCATTTAAAGTTATTACAGAAAACCTTGTCTATTGACAAGACTGCTCACTTGCAGCCCAAAATAACGATGTTTCTTGGTTGAAAGATAGTGAATTCTGCTTCTCAATTTTCTTTTTTACTTGACTATTCTGTGTATGACATTAGGCAAAGCATTCACATTTTTCTCTGCCCTCATTTCCCCTTCTGTAGAAGACACGGTAGAGGTCTGTTGTATTAAGTTAAAGGTATGCTGTATTAAGTTAAAGCTGCTTCTCAAACGGTACTATATATTTGTTTCCCATCACTACTGATATAATAGCCTAACACAGGGGGTGTAATCGTTTTGTGGAATTTGTTTGCCAATGCTAAAAAAGAGGAAACCATCAGAAAAGAAGCAGAGTAAGGAATACATTCAAGTGGAAAGGAAAGCAGTGAGTGATGAGTAGAAGCTGCTGGGAAGGGAGATGACCGTAATCACTCCTCTTCTGAGTCTCAGGTCCCTGTAAACTGAGAGACATGGGGAGGGATTGGTCCAGAACTACACTGTTCAGTGTAGTAGACAGGGCCCACACATGGCTATATAAATTTAAAATTAAATTCACTCAAAGTAGAGAATTCTGTTCCTTATCACAAGCAGCTAGCAGCTACTAAACTGGACAGCACAGACAGGTCATTTTTATCATTGCAGAGAGTTCTAAAGGATGCTGTCTAACCAGTCACCGGTAACATGTCTTCCAGCTTACATATGTGTGATTCTGAGTTCAGGAAGGTAGTAAAAGAGACACCTAAGGAGACTCTAGTAGCAACAGGAGATAAAATACACATACTCTAAAAAGGACTTAGTAATAACTTTATGGCACTTTTCCAGCCTTAAAAAAAGGAGTGTATTATAACTGAATGACTGAAGATTATTAAAGTAAATATAATAACCAAATAATCTAAATTGAAAGCTTAAGTTACTACCTCATCTCTAAAACAAGAGTGTAACTACCTTTATAAAGTAGCATCCCATCAGATACCTATGCTGATATGAAACTAGGACTCTCAGGAGTATAATAAACAATCCAATTTTTTTCTGTTTGGCTTGGAAATGTATTAGCAGTTCATGTACTTGCAACAGTTTTAAATCCCTAGTTTGAAAATACTATCACATGACATAAATTGTGACCAGAGGCCCAGCACATTCAAATGTATACCACCATCAAACCGTGAATCACTGGTTCTAGGAGCAGCCATCCCCAGAACAAGCAGGAAGGGATCTAATCTATTCCTGGGGAAAAGAAGTACACACACTTTCTTCTGTATTGTGACTGAGTAGTTAAACCACTACAGTCATTTCTGTGTCTTTACTACTACTGGAAGATGAATCTTAAAATCACTCCTTGAGAACCAACACGATAAACTGAACTTTTATGTATTTTGAATGTAATGCTGCTTTAAAAAAAAATGTAAGTTTATTCTGAATGTCTACATCAACTGGTAGAAAATTTTAAAAAACATCAAGTTTCATACTCCTACTTGTTTTTATGACTTATAATTATCTGAGCCATATTTCAAAGCATTAGAAACAAGATTTTTTAATGGTCATGAAGAGAAAAGTAAAGTATTAAATCTTTAATATTAGAAACATCCTTATTTTAAAAATAAAGCTGGATGTAGCTTTTCCCCCTTTACCTTTTGTCTTGCTGGGAAACAAGCATAGAAGCTGTTGGCAGTCGCTATAAAAGAAAAGCTTATATTTCTGATATGATCCCTTCTTGAATTTAGAGACGCTTCTGCAATGGTAAGAAAGATCATTTTGGCTACCATAAGATTAGGTTTCTTAAGATTGATAAAGACATGACCTACTGATTTTCCTTTATCCTCTATATGCTAGAACATTCTACTCAGATAGTTTTGAATACTATTCTGGTCTTCAAGTTGTATACCTTCAAAGGCTAGTGCAGATTAGTTTGGAGCACTGAGACAGACCATGCTACCCTTTTTTAGGTTTGGTGTTGATTCCAAATTGCCACCACAGTGTCCACCATCTGATAACAGAGGGAGGGACAGAAATATATGGGGCCAGACACAGCCTGGAGTGCTGCAGGCGAGAGAAACCTGGGATAAGTGCAGGTACAGGCAAAGGAGGCAAGAGGTTAAAGATCTGAGTTGTTGCTGGTACCAGAAGCAGCAGATGGTGGTGTCCTGTAAGTGTGTAGAAGCCCAAAGGAAAGAGCTGGGGAGGGCGCTCAAGCACAGCCACTATTACCAGAAGAGAAGATGCAATATGGTAGGGTAGACACGGCAACTACAGCTGCTTGGGTCTAGCAGAGAAAGTCTCTCTCAGTATACAGCACCCACTCTAGAAGAACCCAGTTTCTCAAGCAGTTGTGTCAGAAGCATATGCGTTGCTCCTTCCATCTTTTTGGAAAGATTAGGATTTTTTTTTTATTTGAAGGAGGCAAGAAGTTGTAGTTTGAAGTTTTGTGAACTAACAAGACAGCTGTAATTGTAAGAGGCACCTAAAGAGTGTATGGGACAGGTCTCTTAGACACAGATGGGGATGGTGGTGAAGTGGTGATTCTGAATGAGGAACTAACAGCTCTGAAGGGAGGAAACAGAGTAAGTGCTGGGGGAGGAGGGGCTATAGGAGGTATGTGTGGGCATTGGTGAATAAGATCGGGGAAAGGGAGAAAATAAAAAGGAACAAGGATACAGGGAAAAGAACAAAGATAAAACAAGAGATGGTGATAGGGAGAGAGAAGAGTGTAACAATCTAATACTGGCATCAATTACACTTGAGCCTAGATCACAGGATACAAGCCATACGAAGGAGAACAGATGAGCTCCTTATCCCAAAGTACACGGAATTTCATGAACACAGCCCATATCTATCTTTATCCAACAGGTCATTCTCATCCTGAGCATGACATTATTTGTTTATAACCAAAAAGTCCATTAACAGTGAAAACACAACTAGAAACCTTGACATCAACAAAACAAGCTGTTCTCCCCTGACTGACCCCACAAGTGAGTCATGTTGAGGTTCTGAAGGATCAGCTTGCTCAGTCTTTCTTCCTCAAATCATATAGAGCTAGGTTTCTCCATCTTGCTTCTGTTGACATTTTCAGCCAGACATTCCCTTTAGTGCCCTGTCCCCTGCAGGGCAGGGCGTTTAGGGGTATTCCCAGCTTCCAACCCCTGGATGCTACCACACCTCCTACTTGTGACAAGCATTTTTTAAATGGGAGAGCAAGTGCCCCCTTCAGGCAGAATCACCCCCAGTTGAGAACTGGTCTGTAGGAAAATAATCTGATTTCCATAACTGTTCCTCACCATATACAGTAAGAGTCTACATAGAGATGGTGCTTATAACCAGCACTGCTAGACCCTTCTCCTACCCCAAAAAATGATTCCCAGAGTACCTAAGCTCTAAATGGTAATCATGCTGAAGAATCAGTCTGCTTTAGGAAGCCACACCTCACTGTTGAAGACCAGAGGAATCTGCCCTCAGATGAGCTTACACTGCATTTTTTAAGACTTTCCTCTTCCCCCCACCCCCCGTACTTGTGGTGCTACCCACTCTTTTGCCCCCTGACCCAACCATGAACAGAGACTTTTTGATCAAGATTTGCACTGTCCAGTACAGTAGCCATCAGGTATATATGGCTTTGCAGCTAAGAAACTACTTTTTTTTTTTAAAGACTTTTATTTGACAGAGCGATCACAAGTAGAGAGGCAGGTAGAGAGAGAGGGGGAAGCAGGCTCCCCGCTGAGCAGAGAGCCAGATGTGGGGCTCAATCCCAGGACCCTGAGATCATGACCTGAGCCGAAGGCAGAGGCTTAACCCACTGAGCCACCCAGGTGCCCCTTAAGAAACTACATTTTTTATTTCATTTAATTTTAATTAAATTTTAAAACATAATTCAGTTATTGGAAAACCTTTATGTTTGGTGTGATTTGGGTATGTGAACCTACTTTTAACATTTTAAATTTTGTATAATCTCAATAAGTATTTTCAATGAAAACTGCATTGAAATTTGCAATAACTAGAAACATCAGCTTTTAAAGATTTAGTATAAAAAATGAATGTAAGCTATTTCATTTTTATATTGATTAGATGTTAATATTTTGGATATACTAGTTTAAATAAAATATGCTATTAAAATTAGTTTCACCTGTCTTTTTACTTTTTTAATGTGGCTATTAGAAAACTTTACATAGGTAGATCACATTATATTCCTATTTATTGGACAGCCTAATCAAGATCTCACCTCAGGGTACATCCAATTCTCTATGTTTCAAACCACTTTTTTTTTTTCTTTTTCTTTTTTTTGGTCAGAGAGAGTGCACACAAGCAGGGGGGTGTCAGAGGCAGAGGAGAAGCAGGCTCCCTGCCAAGCAAGGAGCCTGATGTTGCAAGACTAGATCCCAAGACCAAGAATCATGACCTGAGCCAAAGGCAGACACTTAACTGAGCCATCCAGGCATCCCTCAAACGACTTTAATTCTGTGAGACTAAGTTCTATGATGCCAAGGACTTTTTACCTATTTCTTCTTACCGATTTGTTCAACAAGTACTTACTGAGCACAATGCTATGTGCTACAGAGACAAGGGCAGGCTGCCCCAAAATGGACTACGATGGCAGACTGATTATTTTAAATAAAAGTTACTTAAAAGACAGATGGTGCAAGGACACTGAGACCTCCTCTGTGTCCCCCTGAAAGCAGGAAATAAATCTCCCATGTGAAAGGTACCCTCCCAGTACCAGGAGGTAAAGAGACATCCTTATCACCAGAGATAGGAAATTTAGACCCCATGTTACTGTTTACTAATCTACCACCCCAGCCCAAGTTCTGTTTA